TCAATATTCTTCACCAACACTACAATTGAAAGGCATCAATTCTTCTTTGGTCTTCCTTATTTGTTGTCCAGCTTTTGCATGCATATGAGGCGATTGAAAACACCATGGCTTGGGTCAGGCGCACCTTAGTCTTCAAAGTGACATCTTTGCTTTTTAACACTTCAAAGAGGTCTTTTGCAGTAGATTTGCCCAATGCAATGCATCTTTTGATTTCCTGACTGCTGCTTCCATGGGTGTTGATTGAGGATCCAAGTAAAATGAAATCCTTGACAACTTCAATCTTTTCTCTGTTTATCATGATGTTGCTTATTGGTCCAGTTGTGAGGATTTTTGTTTTCTTTATGTTGAGGTGTAATCCATACTGAAGGCTGTAGTCTTTGATCTTTATCAGTAAGTGCTTCAAGTCCTCTTCACTTTCAGCAAGCAAGGCTGTGTCATCTGCATAACAGATTGTTAATGAGTCTTCCTCCAATCCTGACGCCCCTTTCTTTTTCATATAGTCCAGCTTCTCAGATTATTTGCTCAGCATACAGATTGAACAGGTATGGTGAAAGGATGCAACCCTGGCGCACACCTTTCCTGACTTTAAACCACGCTGTATCCCCTTGTTTTGTCCGAACAACTGCCTCTTGATCTGTGTACAGTTTCCTCATGGGCACAATTAAGTGTTCTGGAATTCCCATTCTTCACAATGTTATCCATAATTTGTTATGATCCACACAGTCGAATGCCTTTGCATAGTCAATAAAACAGAGGTAAACATCTTTCTGGTATTTTCTGCTTTCAGCCAGGATCCATCCGACATCAGCTATAATATCCCTGGTTTGAGTCCTCTTCTGAATCCGGCTTGAATTCCTGGCAGTTCCCTGTTGATCTGCTTTTGAATGATCTTCAGTAAAATTTTACTTGCATGTGATATTCTTCGATAATTTCCACATTTGGTTGGATCACCTTTCTTGGGAATAGGGATAAATATGGATCTCTTCCAGTCGGTTGGCCAGGTAGCTCTCTTCCAAATTTCTTGGCATAGACGAGTGAGCACTTCCAGTGCTGCATCCATTTGTTGAAACATCTCAACTGGTATTCCGTCAATTCCTAGAGCCTTGTTTTTCGCCAGAACCTTCAGTGCAGCTTGGACTTCTTCCTTCAGTACCGTCAGTTCCTGATCATATGCTACCTCCTGAAATGGTTGAACGTCAACCAATTCTTTTTGGTACAATGACCCAGTGTATTCTGTCCATCTTCTTTCCATGCTTCCTGGGTTGTTTAATATTTTCCCCACAGAATCCTTCAATATTGCAATTCGAGGCTTGAAATTTTTCTTGAGTTCTTTCAGCTTGAAAAATGCTGAGTGTGTTCTTCCCTTTTGTTTTTCTATCTCCTGCTCTTTGCCCATGTCATTATAATACTTTACTTCGTCTTCTCGAGCTGTCCTTTGAAATTTTCTGTTCAGCTCTTTTACTTCATCATTTCTTCCTTTCCTTTAGCTACTTGATGTTCAAGAGCAAGTTTCAGAGTCTCTTCTGCCATTCATTTTGGTCTTTTCTTTCCTTCCTGTCTTTTAAATGACCCCTTGCTTTCTTCATGCATGATGTGCTTGATGTCATTCCACAATGCATCTGGTCTTTGGTTACTAGGTTTCAACGCATCAAATCTGTTCTTGAGATGGTCTCTAAATTCAGGTGGGTTATACTCAAGGTTGTACTTTGGCTCTCGTGGACTTGTTTTAATTTTCTTCAGTTTCAGCTTGAACGTGCATATGAGCAATTGATGGTCTGTTCCACAGTCAGCCCCTGGCCTTGTTCTGACTGATGACATTGAGCTTTTCCATAGTCTCTTTCCAAAGATGTAGTGGATTTGATTCCTGTGTATTCCATCTGGTGAGGTCCATGTGTATAGTCACTGTTTATGTTGTTGAAAAAAGGTATTCGCAGTAAAGAAGTCATTAGTCTTGCAAAATTCTATCATTCACTCTCCTGTACCGTTTCTATCACCAAGGCCATATTTTCCAAATACTGATCCTTCTACTGTTTTCAACTTTCAAATTCCAATCACCAGTAATTATCAGTGCATCCCGATTGCATGTTTGATCAATTTCAGACTGCAGAAGGTGGTAAAAATCTTCAGTTTCTTCATCTTTGACCTTAGTGGTTGGTGTGTAAATAATAGTCGTATTAACTGCTCTTCCTTGTAGGTGTATGGATATTATCCTATCACTGACAGCGTTATACTTCAGGACAGATCTTGAAATGTTCTTTTTGACGATGAATGCAGCGCCATTCCTCTTCAAGTTGTAATTCCCGGCATAGTAGACCATATGATTGTCTGATTCAAAATGACCAATACCAGTCCATTTCAGCTTACTAATGCCTAGGATATTGATGTTCATGCATTCCATTTCATTTTTGACGATTTCCAATTTTCCTAGATTCATACTTCGTACATTCCATGTTCTGATTATTAATGGATGTTTGCAGCTGTTTCTTTTCATTTTGAGTCATGCCACATCAGCAAATGAAAGTCTCGAAAGCTTTACTCCTTCTTTGTCATTAAGGTCAACTCTACCTTGAGGAGGCAGCTCTTCCCTAGTTGTCTTTTGAGTGCCTTCCAACCTGAGGAGCTCATCTTCTGGCAGTATATCAGACAATGTTCCACTGCTATTCATAAGGATTTCACTAGCTAATGCTTTTCAGATGTAGACTGCCAGGTCCTTCTTCCTAGCCTGTCATAGTCTGGAAGCTCAACTGAAACCCATCCGCCATGGGTGACCCTTCTGGTATTTGAATACTGGTGGCTTACCTTCCAGCATCACAGCAACACACAAGTCCCCACAGTATGACAAACTGACAGACAAGTGGGGTAATTCCTTAACAGGAAATTGCATATGGTTAGAAAGGGAAATGAAACATTTGTGTAGGGTGTTAGGTTCTCCAGAAAAACAGACCAGTAAAATATACAGTTATATATGTACATATATACACAAACATATATGTTGTTGTGTGCCGTCAAGTCAATTATGAGTCTTAGCAACCCCATGTGACAGAGTAGAACTGTCCCATAGGGTATCTGAGGCTATAAACTTTACGAGAGCAGATTGTCAGGTCTTTTGTCCCATGGAGTGGTTGGTGGATTCAAACACTGACCTTTCAGTAGCAGCTGAGAGCTTAACCATTGTGTCATCAGTTCACCTTTTCAGACACACACACACACATGACACAGTGATTAAGAGCTCGGCTGCTAACCAAAAGGTTGGCAGCTCGAATCCACCAGCTGCTTCTTGGAAACCCTATGGGGCAGTTCTACTCTGTCCGATAGGGTTGCTATGAGTTGGAATTGACTCGATGGCGATGGCTATGTGTATAGCCATTATACAGAGAGAGAGACAGAGAGAAATAGATTTATCTATTTAAAGGAATTGATTAGCTCATGTGATTGTGAGGGTTGGCTAGTTCAAAATCTGTAATTTAGGAGACAGGCTGGAAACTCTGGCAGTCTGTGTCTAAAAAGGTGGTGGCTTGGGAACTCCAGCAACATAGCTATGTTACACTCTTGAGGCGGACTCTTTCTCCTTTGGGAAAACTTCAGTTTTTGCTTTAAGGCCTTTAACTGTTTGGATGAGGCCCATCCCATTACTGAGACTAATCTCCTTTAGTCAGCTGATTGTAAATATTAATCATATCTACAAAAGACCTTTACAGCAACATCTAGACTAGTGTTTGACCAAACAACTGGATGTCATAGCCTAATGAAGTTCACATATAAAATTAACCATCACAGGTAAGTAAAACCACAGTGTTTTAGTTATCTACTGCTGTCATAACAAAAAATACCACAAGTGGGTGGCTTTAAAGAATAAGAGCTTATTTTTCTAGGAATCTAGAAGTCTGAATTCAGGGTGTTGGCTCTAGGGGAAGGTCTTTGTTTCTGTCGTCACACAGTTTCTGTCTTGCCTCTGTGTGTCTTTCTGTTAGGTGCTGTCAGATTGGTTCCAACTCATAGTGACTCTATGTACAACAGAACAAAACACTGCCTGGTCGTGAGTCATCTTCACAATTGTTGCTTTGCTTAAGCCCACTGTTGCAGCCACTGTGTCAGTCCATCTCATTGAGGGTCTTACTCTCTTTCGATGACCCTCTTCTTTACCAAGTATGATGTCATTCTCCAGGGACTGGTCCTTCCTAATAACGTGTCCAAAGTATGTGAGACAAAGTCTCACCATCCATCCTTGTTTCTAAGGAGCATTCTGGTTGTACTTCTTCCAAGACAGATTGTTTGCTCTTCTGGCAGTCCATGGTATAGTCAATATTTTTCACCAACATCGTAATTGAAATGCATCGATTCTTTTTTGGTCCTGCTTTTGCATGCAGATGAGGTGACTGAAAATACCATGACTTGTGTCAGGTGCACCTTAGTCCTCAAAGCCACATGTTTGCTTTGTAATACTTTGAAGAGGTCTTTTATAGCAGATATTCTCAATTAAATATGTCATTTTATTTCCTTACTGCTGCTACCATGGGTATTGACTGTGGATCCAAGTAAAATGAAATCCTTTTGTCATGATGTTGCTTATCGGTCTAGTTGTGAGGATTTTTGTTTTATGTTGAGGTATAATTCATACTGAAGGCTGCAGTCTTTGATCTTCATCAGTAAGTGCTTCAAGTCCTGTGTTTGTGTCCCTTTTATAAGACACTACTCAGAAGAGATTATGTTTAGGACCCACTCTACTCTGGTATGACCTCATTAACATAACAAAAGAAAACCTCTGTTTCCAAACAGGATCACATTCATAGGTACAGGGTTTAAGACTTCAATATATACTTTTTGGGGGGACACAATTTAAAACACATAACCATTTAGTAAGCCATTTAAGTGAGGTATTGACACATTTATCTGGAGGTCAGGAAATACACAGTAATCACCATTAAATTTCATTTGAGCCTTCTCTCAGTCTCTTTTTAATAGATGACAATGAATCTTTTCTTTTCTTTTTTGTTATACAGGTGACACTCCCAAACCTTTTCAGTGTCATTGATTATTTTGTGAAGGAGACTCGAGGGAGTTTAAGGCCATTTATATATTCAACCGACGACAAAGTTGGTATGTTCATTTCATTGCTGTATTAAGTAAAACAATAAAAAAAACTTCTGCATATTATTTATAATACTAGCCAGCTACGAACTGTAGTTTAGCTTTTAATTTATCCATTTTGAAATCATTTTGTCACTGAGTGTCTGAAAATAAGGGAGTACTAATGTATCCTAAATTATATAGAACTGTTCTAGCTCTGACGCATATTATGACTAGAGATTTTATTCTATCAATCTACTTGCGTTTATCAAACAAGTTTAGAGATAAGAAAACCAAACACATATACCAATCCAAAAAAACAAACCTGTTGCTGTCAAGTCAATTCCGCCTCCTATCAACCCTATAGGGCAGAGTAGAACTGCCCCATAGAGTTTCCAAGGAGCACCTGGTGGATTTGAACTGCTGACTTTTTGGTTAGCAGCCATAGCTCTTAACCACTGCACCACCAGGGTCACAGAAACCAAATAGGGAATTTAAAGGAATGGTCTTGTCAGCGATGTCAAATGCGTCAGACAGGTTAAAATGGATTAAAGAGACACTATGGGAATCGGCCATTAAACAGTTAGATTACTTAAGAGAGTGGTTTTACTTCAGTATAAAGGCAGAAGTCAGATTGCGAGATAATAAGGGGTGGGTGGTGAGAAACTACAGATAAAGATAACAGTTAGGATTGCGTACAAAATTGGTGGGCTTTTTGTTCATAATTATTAAGAACTTCAAAACAGGTATAGCAAAACATTAATCAAAGGACAAAGTCCTGTGCAACTGCCAGGTCAGATAACCTTCAAACTGGTTGTGTTTGTAGTCCAGTCTTTGGCAAAGCAGGGAAGGCTGGATGTGGTAGTTTCTTTCCATCATTTAAAGCAACCTCTGGTGCACTTGATCATTTGACGAGCTATAAACGGGAGATTTAATAAAATGCTTCCAATTTATTTGGATTTCACAGTTATCCAAACAAGTCTGTGTTGCTACAGATTAAGAGAGAAACAACCTTATTTGGCTACCTGCCTCAGGGAGGTGGTGGTGCAGTGGTTAGGAGCTATGGCTGTTAACCAAAAGGTCTGAAGTTCAAATCCACTAGCTGCTGTTTGGAAACCCTATGGTGCTGTTCTATTCTGTCCTAGAGGGTTGCTGTGAGTTGAAATCGACTTAGTGCAATGGGTTTGATTTTTTTGGTATCAGGGACATATCTGGAAAATCTCATCAATTAGAAGGACAGCAAGTTTAAAAGTTCAAGTTCTTTGTAAAACATGGCTACTATTCTTTTGATGGCAAATAACTAAAAGAAAAAAAGAATCTCAGAGTCTGAGGAACTTTAGAAAATTATCCAATACAGTGTTTGTATGGCAATCAGTATAAAAAACATCTCTGAGATGTCCATTCAACCTGTTTGAACATTTCTAGTGATGGGGGTAGGGGTGGTTACTGGTATTTGAGGCAGCACATTTTACTTCCTGAAACTGTCTTTTAATTGCATTGTTTAAATTATTTACAATTAATTGTTTTATGGTTGGGTTAGGAGCCCTGGTGGTGCAGTAGTTAAGCTCTCAGCTGCTAGCCAAAAGGTCAGTAGTTCAAACCCAACAGCTGCTCTGCAGGACAAAGATGTGGCAGTCTGCTTCTATAAAGATTTACAGCCTTGGAAACCCTATGGGGTAGTCTACTCTGCCCTAAAGGTTTGCTATGAGTCGGAGTTGACTCAGCAACAGATTTAATTTTTGGATTTTTACAGTTGGTTTTATGTCTAACATTTTGTATTTGTCTTCTGTTATCATCAGTTACTTTGTTACCCCGTCCTATCCTTTTTTGGACAATCTTAATACTTTTTAGTATTCTATCTTAATTTACCTATTTAGAATATTGGCTATATGTCACCTCATGGAGCATAGTTTTAACTGCTTTAAAGTCTTTGATAATTCCAACTTCTTGGTTATCTTAGTGCTAGCATCTGTTGTCTTTTCTCTTGAGAATTGGTCACATTTTCCTGGTTCTTTGAATATTAATTTTGGATTGTATCCTGGACATTTTGTAATAAGCCTCTGGGTCCTGTTAACTTTTTTTTTTTTTAAGCTGGCAATCATCCTGATTAGGTTCAGATCCCAAGTTCTATCTCACTTTCTGTGAGAAGTGGTCCCAAGGTCATTTTTAAAGACTTTGTTGTGCTGCTTTGGGTTTGTCTCATGCATGTGTCTCTCAGAGATTAGTCTGGGACTTGGGCAGTGGTTTATATCTTAGTTCAGGTCTCAAAGTCTTTGCTATGTGCTTTGTATCTGTTATTTGCATTCTAGCTCAAGCCAGAACTTGCGTTGCTTCATACATAGAATTAGGGGATGCTCTTATCCAGCTCACTTCTTTCCAGGATTTCCCCACACTCCTCAGTTCCCAAGTGTCTTTGATCCTGGTTTCTGAGCTAGAAAGATGGGTTTCTGAAGAGTTGTATCCAATTGTGCTGCCATGCAGTTCTGTAAGGCTGGGGCTGCCCTTGGCACAAAGAAGTCAGAGAAAAAAGGAGACGGAGAGAGAAAACAAAAACACCAAAAAATATTGTGATTTCCTCTCCCTCCCACTTTCTTCAGACTACAGGGCTCCGCTTTTCCTAGCTCCTCTGGCCAGAAATATGGGTTTTCACTTGGGGTTTAGGTGTTCATGCTGCCACTGTTAAAGTGCACAGCTCCTTGACTTGGGGTCACCCTCAAGGGCAGAGATAGTAGAGAAAAAATAGAGAATAGAATAGCCCACCCTAGGAATATATCCTAGAGAAATAAGAGTCATCACTCGAATAGACATATGCACACCTATGTTCATGGCAGCATTGTTTGCAATAGCAAAATGATGGAAACAACCTAGATGCCCATCAACAGCTGTATGGATAAACAAACTATGGTACATACACACAGTGGAGTACTATGTGATGAGAAAGAACAATGATGAATCTGTGAAGCATCTCATAACATGGATGAAACTGGAGGACATTATGCTGAGTGAAATAGGTCACAATCACAAAAGGACAAATATTGTATGAGACCTTTATTGTAAAAACCCATGAAAAAGTCCACACACAAAATGTAACAATCTTCGCTGGTTACCAGGGATGGGAAGGGTGGCGGGAAATACTAAATAGGCAATAGATAAGTGGTATCTTGGGTGAAGGGTGAGACAGTACACAATACAGGGGAAACCAGCACGACTTGTACAAGGAAAGGTCATGGAAGCTCCATAGACA